AAAGAATTTTTCAATCAACAATTCTTTAAATTTTTAAATTAGACTTTTTTTTTTTAACCTCATTTTTAGGAATAAGTATTTTTGCTCATTTGCTAGAACATTTTCTTCGATGATCATTATCATTATCTGCCAGAATGAATACATTCGAAATTTTGAGGAAAGCTAATGATGCTAATCATCAAAAAGTTTTGCTAATTTTAAATATTTAACTTCGATGTATTATTATACGTATCATTTTCTTACTTGATTATTTGAAACTTTTGAAATTTCTCCATTTGCGCTTCAATATTTATCATTTTTCTAGCGCCATTAACGAATGTCTAAATCGAAATTGCCAGAATTTTACTCCTTCTATCTAGAAAATATTAATTTTTGCAATTGATTATTTCAAAAAAAAAAAATAATTGTCTATCATTAATTTATTTCAAAAATTTAATGATTTAACTAAATTTAACTTGTTAGCTTAGCATAAAAGGATTTCTCTAGCTTATGATCATAAAATATTTTTGGAATTAAAGATTGATTTATCTTATAGTTTTTAAAATTATTGAAAGTTTTGAAAGGTATCCATAATAAAAATTTGTCTACTTACTATATCAATCCTCATTCAGGCTTATCTTAAATTACATAATCCATCCAGATTTATATTCGTCCAATTTTTTAGCCTGAAAAATAACAACCAAATTATCTTTCAGCAGTTCTCTAAATAATTTCCGCATTCCAATTCATCTTTCGTGATTAAATATCGTCAATAAACTTTTTAAAAATTAAAATTTTCAGCATGAGAATAACTTTCTATCTGGTAATATTTACACCTACAATGGCTTTCCAATGTTTTCAATGCAATAATGGAGTTGACGAGGATGATGTCAAGCCATGTGTCAATCAGGTTATACATTTCATATCAATTTCAGCAAAAAATTAAAGCATAAAAAGTTCAAAATGATATTTCATAGATATCAAAACATAAGTGTTAAAACCGGAATGAATACAATAAACAAATTTAATTTTTTATCTTAAAGGAATTATAGATGATTTCAGGTCAAATCTTATCTATCTGAATCAATTTCTGATTCTGATGTTTTTCATATCAAGAATTTTTTTTTTTTTTTGATGAATTTGATTACTGACCTGATAATTTTACTAGAAAACGGAATGTCCGAAAGATACGAAAAGTTGTTCGACCATTTTGTATGCATCTGAGCAAGGTGATGAAATTCATATACGAAAATTTTGCACAACTTCCGATACTTCTATACCACAATACTTTCATTTATTACCCAACAGTGCCATGTGTCAAAACATTTTTACGGTATTTGTTTATAAATTTTTCCAAATTTTAAAAACTATTTTTTTTTTTTGCAAAGTAATGAAAATTCTAAGATTGAATTCAATTAAAAATAACGGTGAAATTAAAATGTATTCGATAAAGTTAGGACAAATATATGTAAGTAATTACAGAATGATTTTGATAAAAATAAATTTTTGCATTAATTTAAAAAAAAAATGAAAAGAATTTAGAATCAAGAACAAATACAATTTACATCATTGCTTGAAAGACGACGTCGTGAAGCATTACCACCAGCACCACCTCGACAATACGTATGTTTATAGGTTCATCCCATATCTATGTTCATACTTTTGATTTTATGGTATTTATTTATCGAAAATTTGATTTTGTTAAAAGCGGAAAATTTCAAAATTACAAATGGAACTGTTTCATTTCATAAAATCAGGTCATCTTATTGACGTACATTCATTACAACCAAAAATTCCATGAAATTTTTGTTTCTTTGTTTTCAACCTTATCTTTCGAGTTGAAAGATGGAATCCTAAAATTGGAATAACCAAAAATCTTGCAAAATTAATCGAATTGAACTGTGAATGACCTACAATGACCTTTTTAAGCGATATTTCTTATCAAATTTACACTAACTTAAAACTAAATTATATATGTAAGCCAGAAGTTGGAATTGTTTTAATTATTAATTAGTTGAAATTTGCAGAAGAATAACTTGCTATGCATATGTACTACGCCTTTGTGTAATAGCGGCATGCACAAGGAGGTCATAGATAGGATTATGTCTAATCCATCAAAGCACAATGTTGATATATCATTACAAGAATTGAATGATTGATATGACCTGATGGATATCATCGCTACAAGGATTTATAGATAGCTGATATGACCTCAGCTATTCTCATCAACGTTTACATTTCAGAATGAAATGTATCCTTTAGCTTCCTGATAGATCCTAAAATTTTTCCAAAATATATTCAAGATAATCCAAAAGGATCTTACATGATGATTTGAAATGTTTTTATCGATCAGCTCAAATGAGAAATCTTAATTTAATAAATAGATGTGAATTGCTATGCTAAATATGCCATCTTTGTCCGACAGGTGAACTATGCACTTTATGTAAGAATCATATGAATTTAAAGATGAACTTTAAGGACATATTATGTATTTGGAAGTGCTAGACTACAGTAATTTATTTGTTCCAATTTTTTTTTAATTCAAAAATGACAAGTGCGTCAAATATTCACATATCAAGAATTCTTTATTTCTTCAAATGCTTTCCTGGATTCAAGGAATTGTTGGCACTGTGATCATAAAAATATGCAAAATTTTGTGTAAATTTTTATTAAAAAAGGAAATAAAATCAAACTTGATGTGAACAAACAGGTATTTATAAAAAAGAACAATGATTGATTTTAACATTTTTTTTTTATCCCGTAACTGCATAACAAAAGAAAAAAAGAAAAAAGTCAGAATAAAAAGAAAGGACGTAAAATTAGGAACAAATTAGCAAATTTTAAAGACCTAATTTTTTTCATCACTCTGAAATAGAAAGGAAAAAAAAACTAACAAAAACATGGAAATAATTCCTAGTAAACAGACCTGTTGCCAACTGATAACCAGGTAGAGCAATAAGAAGAGATTTGGAGATGTGATAAAGGACAGGAGTACCGGGATCGAGAGGACAATGATGAAAGAAGAATGGGGTCAATTTGAGTAACGAATTCATTATGAAAAGAAAGGATGGGAGAATCATATTATATAAGAAATGAGTTCATTGATGATAGAAAAATACATCCAGCAGGTTTAAACAAAATGATGATTCGATATGATCAACAAAGGAATTGATCAACAAATGGAGCTATTCAAGTTATAGAGGACTTCCAAACGAGACATGTATAAAAATCATTAGAAATTATAACTGTGATGGTGATAATGCACGCCAACATTAGAAACCATATTTTAAACTCTCATTGTGAATCATTTATAAATATAAAACAAATGAACTATTACACCGAATTTTAGGTATCAATTTTTTAAAAAATAATATCTGAGAAGGCAGATATTACTGCCTGTGAAATTCGTTTAACTGCTCGCCATAACAGTGCACTGTTCTCTCGCTCAAATCGTAAAGCTTTCTCCCGAATGGTAACTCGATGGGAAAATTCGGGTTGATGACACAAATCCAAAGAAAAAAAATGAATTGACAACCATTGGAACTTCAATATTCAACTTTGGCTACACCCAACACTGAAGCCAAATTCGATCGCTTACATCTTCTACTACTCTGCCTGTTATTTCCCACAACGAGCATTACTAATATAAAAAATGTATTTAACAAGATAAAATATCATGATATAAATATTTGTTGGAATTCAATATATACAAATATCATTACAGGAAAGATCTAATATATATGAACAGGAAACTCTCAATACCTGACTACTAGATAGTCAGTACCACTGCTGATGTCGTGCACAGAACATGGCAGCAGATGGGGATAAATGAAATTCGAAAAAAATCCTTAACCACCACTTTGATTACATTTGTTCCACTTATTCCACTCTAAGCCAATCACACTAAGCTTAAGGTTTTACTCCAGGTATTATCTTATTCATTAAAGATCGGTTAGTACAACCTTGATCAGCTTTGTAAAGTACTGTTTGTTCCAGATTTTTTTTTTTAAGGGAACAGAATCAATAGTTAAAGAAATTCTAATCTGTTCCGAATTCCATTATCATACCAAGCAGCCGAAGAGTAAATATATGAATAGTATGATAAAAGTAATGAGTTGATTTGGATGGAGTTTGCAAAAATTTGGAATACTTGAAAAGACATGAAAATCGAGATGATAAAAATTGGTGGTTTAAAATGAGATTCTTTTCCAGAAGCACACATTCTTTTTCCTATTCAGGAAAAATAAGCAGCCAGACTGTGCAACCCAAAAAATGTTAGACAGCGAATGTATCCTACATATAGATAGCACTGACAGTCTCAGTAACATCCAAGTGAACACAACGCTTTCAATCGGAACCGATTCGTAGGATATGTTTATGAATTTTTTTAGCCTCATGACAATCAGCCTTTCTGCCTTGTTCTATTACCACGTGATCTTCCAAAACACATGCAGCTAAATCACATTCAATTGCTGAAAATGGAAATCGATAATTTATTAACTGAAATCAGAAACCCTGAATTATCTGTCAACAAAAATCAATAAGGAACGCCAAAAGTAAATCGTCAAATGTATCCTTTTAAATCTACAGTTGAATTTTCTGAAAATAATATTTAACAAAAAACTTACGATCCATTTCATCTTCCATGTTGTTATTGCAAATAGCGTAGTGCATCTAGAAACAAAAAAAATTTCGGGTGAATGGATTGCAATTTTTTAAAAAAAAAAAAAAGAAAAAAAAAACATTGCTTCTGCAAAGAATTATTCGCATTGACAGAATAATGAAATAATGGAATAGAAAAATGAATGCTATCGGTTCTCTAACTAGAAAAAAGAATTAAAAAGTTTGATGACTTTACCGTTTCAGAATTTGAACGATGCCGTGCTTCATCATCCGTTGAATTATCTTCCAGTGGTGAACCGCCTTTTTTTTTCATTTTATTTCTTTGTTTTCGTTGGTTCTTTTTCTTTTGACTTAGAATAGATGAATTGGGTCGGAATGACCGCTCTTGGACTAAACGTTCACTGAATGATACATGCTTTTTTCGTGGAGTAGATCCTGTAACTGGAAATTCACATCTCTAAAAATTCGCCAAAATCTGGTGAGAAAAAGCACCAAACTTTATCAAAGATAAGAGCAAGACAAAAAATACACTAAATAAACCTGCGCTGTTCTCATAATTCATGTCTGCAATGACCATTTTCATTTCTTCATTCTCTCTACTTTGACATTCCGAACACGACCTAAAATGTTGTCTTAATTGAAACTGTAATACTTCGCTTCTTATAAATTTATGTTTTTTTTATTAGAACATCGTCTCCTATTATAGATTTTATAATGGTTCTTATATGTTACATAGTTGATTTTACCGTCATCCTCCATAATCGTTTTTTACACATTATGAAGATCCTACAGATAAAAATTTTCTCATACATTAATTCTTTCATTTCATGTTACACTAAGATGCAGGAATCATTAACGATTAACGCTATTTGATATGGTTTCATTGTTGACAGCTAAAAGACTGACAAAAAAGTGACTTTCAAAAACCTAACTGGATAATATTGCTCAATTAGAATGTTCGTGGTGTTTGGATGAAAAGAATTTGAAATGGGAGTCTCTTCTAAGCAATAACAATACGAGGATTGATTGAGAAACAGTATAATTATTCTGATAGATAGAAATATTTGAGACATATATAGGGTAATATGAAGTAGACCATACATCTCTCTGCTTACTCACATGATCTCATAAACCATTGCAATCAATCACTTTTAAATATGGCATGTTCGGATAAATTATAATTCGTACAGTGCCACGATGAAACCTATGAATAATAAACTGATACTCTGTCATGGATAGATTTCAGCTAAAGAATTAAAAAAGATGAAGCAGAAAGCGAAATTTAAAAATATGAGCAAATATGCATAAGTCGAAATTTAAAAAGTTGGAGATCAGCAATTGTGAAAGACGAAAACAAGAGCAACAAGACGATAGTATAAAATTCAGTTGAAAGTAATTCTTACTCCAAAAAATGACATATTTATTCATTTATACAAAAAGATATAAACCAGTTTAAAACAAGAAAAGAAATGAAACCTTAAAAAACGTCCTGTTGTGATGTTTAGTGGAATGGATTTTTTCAAGATACCTTTGAGACCAACTGTTGCGCTTAAACACTCACTTGTTGAGCGGCCACGTGGTATCACTTGTTGTTCGACGACTATACCCAAAATCAAAAAGTAATATGTACTCGTTTTTTACTTATTTCACGTTAGAACGTAACATTAAAAGCTTAAAATAATAATGATCAAGATAGGAACTGTTTCATGGCATAGTTCAAAAGTTCGCGGCAAAATTATGAATAGAGACCTTGAAAACATTCACCTCCAATCACAGGCACATAACTTACCGTAATGGAAAGGAACATTGTTGACGGAAATTGGTGAGCATCCAGGTGATGAGGCAGGTGAGCTGTTCGATGAGCTAAGTGATGACATGCCCGAATCGATGCTACCTACTGGACTGTTAAATCTGAAAAAACCTTAGATCTAGTTTAAGAAAGGAAACTAATCGCAGTGAAGAAACTGCTAGATAAATCAAAAATCAAGACTAGATCAGTAAAAGCATTTCTTATTGTTTGAAGAAGATTTCTCCCTTTTTCGATGTCAATGAAAGCATATTGCATGGAAAAAACCTTCATAAAATTTTATGATCGCGTTCAAAATTACATCAATCAGAAAACCATGTAAAAAAAATGCACTTTTCCAACAATCATTTTAAAAAAAATTTTGTAATCATTGAAACTCCCTAGAAATCAAGAAATGAACAACAGATCATTTTCTTTTGGATGTATTATGAATAATTTATTCATTTCATAGCGGAATAAGCTACTTCTAAAGTAATCGTAAAAGATTTCTTTAAACTTCAACCAACGCCAGAATAGAAATTATTGTTAATTGTAAGTTTCTGGAGCAGTCCAGTGAAAGCAAACATAATTTTAAAACAATATATTAGGCTCATTGTTAATTCTGATTATATCCTCAAGTGATCAAAGCATCGAATTTTGCTTTAAAAATCAGCTGAACATACCCTGCCATGAAATTAATTACTGTTTCAGGAACAGGATGTTGCTGCTGATTGCCAGAACTAACAATGACTTGCAATGGTGATATAGTCGAATTAGCAACTGAATCGACTTCTTCAAATACAGCATCGTTATTCGGTATTTTCGTGACTGTCGCTATGGTGAA